TGTCCCCCAAAACCACTTCACCCTACAAAACTTCTCCTCCCCAAAAACATTTTGCCCCTCAAAAAAAAAAACTTGCTCACCCAAAATTTCGTTCTCTCAAAAAAATTCCCACCCCCAAAACGCTTCGCCCTTCAGAAGTTTTGCTCCCCAAAAACTTCTCCTCAAAATTTCACTCCCCAAGAACAATTCTGCTCCCAAAAAACTTTGCTCCCAAAAAATTTCGCCCCTTAAAAATTTCACTCCCCCAAACCTCCTTTCTCCAGAGTTTCCCCTCAAGAAAATTTTTGCCCCCCAATTTTGCTTCTCAAAAAACTTCACCCCCCAAAACTTGCTCCCAAAAATTTTCACCCCAAAAAATTTCAAAAATTTTGCTGTCTGCAATTTTGTCCCTCTGAAATTTCAATCCCCAAAATTTTCAACCCTCAAGAAATTTTACTCCCCCAAAATATTTCACCGCAAAAAAAACCTTTGCTCCCCAAAACTTCATTCCTGCAAAATAATTTTACTCTCTCATAATTTCACCTCTCAAAAATTCTGCTTCCTAAAAATTTTGCTCGTCAAGAAAATTTTATTCCCCAAAAACCTCCAAGAAAGTTTGTTTTCCATAAAATTTCTCTTCTCGATTTCTGCCCCTGCAATTTTCGCTTCTCACAAAAACTTTGCTCCCCAAAATTTCACTCCTCAAAAATTTCAACGCTCAGACATGTTCTGGTCCCCAAAACCGTTTCACTTTTCCAAAAATTTTGCTCTAAAGAGCCATCGCTCCTCCAGAAAAACTTTGCTCCCTAAAACTCCGTCCCTTTCAAATTTCATCCCTCAAAACCACTTCACCGCCCAAACATTTTCCTCCCCAAACCCCTCGATCCTCCATAAAATTTCCCTCAAAAGATTTTTGCCCCCAAAGTTCTGCTCCTCACCAAGACTTCGCTCCCCGCAAACATTTCACCCCCCAAAAAACTTCAAAATTTTTGCCTCTCAAGATAATTTTGTTCCCCAGGATTTTGCCCCTCAAAAATCTCCCTCCCCAAAACCTTCACCCCTCAAAAATTTTATCTCTCAAAAAGATTTTCTCTTTCAAAACTTCTGCCTCTCAAAAATCTTCCTCCCCAGAAAACATTCTGCTCCTCCACAAAATTCCCCTCCTCAACAGAATTCCACTCCCCAATTAACACTTTGCTCCCCAATCAAAATCCTGCTCCCCCGACAAAATCCCGATCCCTCGATAAAATCTCGTTCTTCCTCTCGATAAAATCCTGACCCCCCCGACAAAATTCTGCTCCTCTCAATAAAATCCCAAGCCCCCAACAAAACCCTGCTCTGACAAAATCCCATTTCTCTTGATAAAATCTTGCTCTGACAAAATCCTGCTTTTGCTCTCGGCAAAATCCCGACTCCCTGACAAAATCCCACTCCTCCTCTCGGCAAAATCCCAACTCCCTGGCAAAATCCCGACTTGTCCTCTCGATGAATTCTCACTCCTTGCGATAAAATCCTGCTGACAAAATCCCGCGCCTTCCCTCAACAAAATCCCGCTTCTTCTCTCAAAATCCCAACTCCTCGATAAAACCCTACTCTGACAAAATCCCGCTTCTTCTCTCAATAAAATCCCAACTCCCTGTCAAAATCCCGCTCCTCCTTTTGACAAATTCTCACTCCTCGTGATAAAATTCTGCTCTGACAAAATCGCGCTCTGACAAAATCCCGACCCCTCGATAAAACCCCGCTCGGACAAAATCCTGCTCCCCCAATAAAATCCCAACTCCCTGTCAAAATCCCGCTCCTCCTTTTGACAAATTCTCACTCCTCGTGATAAAATTCTGCTCTGACAAAATCGCGCTCTGACAAAATCCCGACCCCTCGATAAAACCCCGCTCGGACAAAATCCCATTTCTCGGGGCGCCCCCCCCTGCCCTTACGGATATCCTCGAGGTCGAGGTCGTCGTAGAGGAACTCGTTTTCCTCGAAGTCGGGGTCCTGCGAGGAATCCACGTAATATTCCACGTCGTCCTTGATCTTCCGGATGGCGTCCACCAGGATGGAGTCGTTATCCAGCATCCGCAGGATCGTCTCCAGCATCCGCACGTGGTACCGGTGCTTCTCGATGTGCCGCTTCAGCCCCTCGATTCGGTCCTGTTTCTGTTTTGGGGGCGGGGGGGGATTAAAAAAAAAAAAATCCAGAACCGCTCGCCCGCCCCTCAGGGCTGGGGGGGTCACACTTACGTCTTTATCCCCTTTTTTCTTGCGGGTTTGCACCGAGAGCGACTCCACTTCGCTCTCAAATTGATCCACCTGCATGTTGAGGGTGTCGATGGTGTTCTGGGAGGGGGGCAACGACGCTTGGTCAATGCTTGGGGGAGCCCAAACTGCCCCCCCCGGGGCCCCCCAAAGCGCCCCCCCCCCTCACCGTCAGCCACTGGCCGACCTCCTCCTTCTCCTTCTGGGCCGGGTCAACCTTCTGGGCCAGCCCCAGCCCTTCCTTGGAATACGCCTTCGTCTTCGTCTCACGCTCCACCACCTTGAACCTTTCCATTTGCTGAGGGGGGGGCACAAAAAAAAATAAAGGGGGGTTCAGGGTGTACCCCAATTCCCTGTTCCCCCCCGGGAAGGAGGAGAAAGCGGGGGGTCCATCCGCAAAGGAGCAGGGGATGGGAATGTCCCCTTGCCGGTCAGCAGGAGCCCAAGATGAAGCTGCCTGAGACTCGGGGGGGACGCAGGGGGGGTCACTTGGGTTTTGGGGTTCCCCCTGACCCCCCAGCTTTACCCAGGGCCCCCCCGCTTTACCGTCTCGATGAGTTTCCGGTTGTCGATCAGTTGTCGCTTGTCCTTGATCTCGTTGGAAGCCACCCACGTCTTGATCTGGTCCCTCAGCCGCTGGGGGGGGGCGGCATTAAAAGGGGGGGGACACCCCAAAATCCACCACCTGGGGCAGGGGGGGGGGCGGGGCCCCCCCCCCCGCCTTTCTCTCCCTCCTCAGGTACCTGCAATTTCTTGATTTCTTTCTTCAGGTCGGCCTCGTACTTCTCTTTCTGGTTGGCGTTGGCGGCATTGTGGAGCTGGGGGGGGGCAAAAAGGG